AAATATGATTGTTTTGTCATATTCATTACTTCCTTAAATTTAATTATATTTGGATAATCAATATACTTTTTATCAATATACTTTTATCTTTCTATAGCCATAAATTTACACTTCATTACATAATGGAATTCATCTCCAAGTTCTTTTAAGTCACATAGTTCGCATATTCTTTTATCTCTCTGAATTTTTTTCCATCTACCACTTTCTATCGGTAAAGTGTGGTTAATTAGTCTAAATTGACATAAAATATAAATATCATGGGGTTCCAAAATATCTAAATACTTTTCGAATCCGAAAAGTTCCTTAAAAAGGCGGTAATTTAATGTTTCTGAGTTCGTTTGAATATCTGAGTACCATGTTTGTTTAAATTGATCTTGGAGAGATGTTCTAACAACAGTCTTTAACCAAATTTCATTTATACAAGTTTGAATTAATCATACATAAGATAAACCAGTATCATTTAGAATAGATTCTATACATTTCATCCAATAAAATCTAACATTGTTTCCATGAGATAAACTAAACATTAATTTGTATGCTATTGTTGATAATTTACTGGGTTTGCTAAAAATCAATATGCCCAGTATGAAATCATGCGAACTTTGATATCTAAGCTAATAGGATAACGTCCTAATTCTCCATATATGACACAATTCAGAGTGGAAGATTTTAGATGGAGTAGAAGTTTACAAAATTTCAAATGAACTCTTTCTAATATACCATTATTTCCAAATCCCCAAATTTCACAGCCGTAAAGTAAAACAGGTTTAACCAATTTATCAAATAAATCTAATTGACAGCTTATTGATAAGCCATGCTTTCTCCCTTTTTGATAACTTCATACATGGCTCTCGTAGCTTTTTCTGCGAGATGCTTCTTATTTGCTTTAAATGAGCCATTTTTAGAAAAATAAATCCCAAGATAATCAAACTCATTAACAATTTCTAAGTCAGAGTTACCAAAATTAAATTTAAGGTTAACCGGATGTCTACCACTACAAAAAATCATGATTTTAGTCTTGTCTACATTGACTTTCATTTTCCAAACATTACAATATGATTCAAATTTGTCTAATAGTAATTGAAGTTCTGTGGTTGATTCAGCCATTAAAACCGTATCGTCTGCGTAGAGAATTGCAAACAGTTTAACATATATGTTTAGTTCGTCTTCTATGGTATCTAATATAGTGTTTAAGCCTATCAAATTCCCTTTACAAAAGAAATCTTCCAAATCGTTCAAAAAAAACGAAAAAAGAAAAGGAGATAAACTCTCCCCTTGGCGTAGACCAATGTTGCTTGGAAAATAATCAGATTTCTCACCATTGTATGACAAGCATGATTTTATATCATCATACATGTTATGGATAATTTTATACATATAACCATTAATATTATTTACAAGCATCTTATACCATAAAGCATCTCTAGTCACTGTATCAAATTCATCCTCAAAAATCGACAAAAGCACAGAACATTTTTTTCTTTTTTAATTTCAAAATTTCAAAAAAAGAGTGTAGTGTAAAGATACAATCACTAGTTGAGTAACCATTTCGAAATCCACACTGATTTTCATTAAGTAGTAAAACTTCATCAGATAACCTTGCAAGTCTATTACTTAAAATAGCTGTAAATGATTTACCCATACAACTTACAATAGTAATGGGTCTATAGTTTTTAGGATCAAATTTATTGCCTTTGTTTTTATAAAATGGCTTGATCGTTCCAATCACCCAAGATACTGGTACTATTCCAGTTCTAAAAATCAAGTTAAACAATGCAGCATAAACATCAATAAAAAAATCGCTAGAATTCTTAATATATTCGTTAATAATCATATCATCACCACAAGCTTTGTTATTTTTTGAATTCAAGGCCTTCAGTTTGCGCTTAAATTTTCTAAAATTCTGTCTCTCAAATTTTGCACTCAAGGTTAAACCAAGGTTTATCTCCCTTGTTTTTGGATGCTCGTTTTTTTGGCTTGTCACCTCGAGTGCAGGGGGTCGTGGGTTCGATCCCGGTCGGATGAAATAAAAGAGTTTAAAATTAATAGTTACTGCTTCTCCGCTAACCACGTAGCCTTGATAATATAAATAAAAGATTTTGCAATTATTTTATTACATATCCATAATATCAAAATGATATTCGGCGCTATATAATTGTTATTGCAGACAAATTTGATACAATATCGCAAATTCTACATATTTTTGTTAAATTTTGCATCTAGGGACATGAAAGAATTTGTAATGATTTATAAGACAAAACATAGCTTTTCTTCCTGTATAATTTTTGATATGGCTAAGAATGTCCTCCTCGTTTATTTGTGCGATAATTACTAGTATGAAAACAAGAAGATGTGTTATAATTGCCAATGAGACAACTCTTCACCAGAGACCAAATGACATAGAAGTTAACAATGTCACCGTACGGCTTTCAACAATGAGCAAAACCCATACCGCAAGTAGTTTGCAAAATTTACCAAAATTGCAGTTATGAGCCATCTTTATGCGTATCAGTTCATATTATTAGAACTCAAAAGAACACATATGCATAATTGTCATAGTGACGTAAAGTTTTGAAAACTTTTTGAAAGTGACCCTTGTGTGAAATAAATAATACGACAAAAGACTGTATAAAGGCAAGTTTATACGATCAATGCATTTTAAATATGCAAATAATATTGTTGTAGTATAATACGCTTTGCATGGTTTACTCATTTTCATTTTAAAAAAATGCGTTTGGCTTTAAATCAATCTGCACCGATCAATTTTTGAAAATTGTTGTTATTTTTGAATCTTGAACTTGTCTGAATTTTCAGAGGTTTTATCCACGCGACATATCAGAAACGGGAGCGTTAAGAGATCGGTTTTGAATTAGATTTGATCTACATAATATTACAGCGATGAAGTATTTTCAATAAACTTTAACCTTGGAAAAGTATACTGTCAAATGTATTCAAATATCATAGAATAATAAAATGTATTTCAATCGAAGTGAACGGTTAATTAATACCGTACCGGGGAAGGATTAATCAGACCGTATCCTGGGGTTTTCATCCGGATCAGATTAAGATCATCCAGAAGAAAAGTTACACAACTTCAATCTGGCCGCTCAATCTTTGGACGTCAATATTAGTCGTGGTGTTTTCTATTCAGTCTGAAATTGGCGGATTTTTTAATGGACTGATTTTTTTGTGACAAGGATTATAAAACAAAGACAAGTAAATTAAGAGGTCAGGATTTTGTACAGTTTGTGATGTCAAGTAAAAATCTGTCATGATGTTTTCATCGGTATTTGCTAGGTTTTTTTTATATAATTTTTTTGGGTCTTTTTGTTGTTTTTTGTTTGTTTTTTTGTGTGATTAAGTTTATTTGAAAACAGTTTTAAGTATTGTATTGTCCATTACTGATAACACATTTTCCTTGTGTATAAATTAATTTTCCCAATAACTTTTATTTCACAACAATCGACTAATTATTTCAGTGTACATATATGTCATGTCAATTTATCTAGCTTACCCGCTAAGCACGGCATTTAGAAGTACAAGAAAAGAGTGGTCGGCTCGGAGTTAAAACAATGTTTCCGAGTAGGTTGACATGTCTCCCTACCTTGCGAACTAGCATGTAAAATATCTGACTCAGCGTGTCGTTGGGGGTTCATGTTCATTTCACACTTACATGTTCTCGCCTTGAATATGCATTTTAAATTGCCACTATAATTTAAACAATCATCCATTATCATAATCATCATAATCAATTCAACCAGCATCGATAATTTCATTTTCTCCTGTTGTTTTGCATAAAAAAAATTTCTATCAAGGGATTTGGTAACGTATGAAACCATTTTCCTGTCAAATAGTATGAAATCGTTTCCCTGTCATAGTATGAAACTATTTCCCTGTCATAGTATGAGACCATTTCCCTGTCAAAAAGTATGAAACCATTTCCCTGTCATAGTATGAAACTATTTCCCTGTCAAAAAGTATGAGACCATTTCCCTGTCAAATAGTATGAAATCACATTTACCTACTAATTGCATGAAACTATTCCCTTAATGAAACCATGACTTTTCTTTGATTGTTTCTATTTTTACCAATACAGAGCTTGACATTTGTAAAGACACATATTGTTGAAGACTATATGACAAAAATGTGATATAATCTTTACTTCCAAAATGTTTAGCGAAATAAAGAAATCGTCTATCAAATATCATTTAAAAAACAACAAGATCGGAAGCTATGTCTTTATATAAGATACCTTTCATCATTAGATTTAAACTCGCAGATTTTGAATGAATCTTATCCTCTCCACATTTTCTTACTTTTGGTTATGCTTTCATTTCAAAACGATGGTTTACGTATTTCAAGATGAAAAGATTCATAAAGTCCAAGTTTAAAGTTACAAGTGTTCATACATCCAATAAACTTTGACAGTTTATTAAGGAATGAAATCCATCACCAACGCCTTATGGTTAACAATATTGTTGTGATATAAATGGTGATGATATAAAACGTAAATCAAATTTACTGAGAAAGTAATGTGGGGTATACACAATGGGAAGACACCACAAAGACAAAAAAAATAGAAAGACATCTTATAACATAAAAGGCTTCTATTGATTTAAAGGAAATGTGGGGCAACCTACTATGCAAAAAAAGTGTTAAGAGTTTGGGTTATATGGGTTAAGGGAAAATGCATATATTTCAATAGATTTAGTTCCAAGCAACATAAACGATTAGTAAATCTTCATAATTAAAAGATTATATCATTGAATTAATAGTATTATTTCAAAGGAGAAAACTATTAACAATAACGTGTTTAACCTTGTCGAGTTTCTGTTCTGATCTGGCGTGTAAGTCACAGCTCTGGTGATACGGTACACGCTATTCTCTTATCAGATATCTACAAGACTATTTGTGTTGAGTTAATCAGAAAAGACTTTTGAATAATTACCATAATATGATTAAGTTAGTTTTCAGACTGTCGTACTGTGAGCTGTCTCGGTTTTATAAATCAATAATGATCAACTTTCATCAGTTCAGCAGGTAACTTATGTTTTCCGCTTCCGTAAATACAACTGGAAGGTATACACAATAGTCTTATAATATAGCATATTCCCATGACGATTGAATGCCTCTTTTTCTTCTTTCTATTTTTACATATAACCTATAAGTTTATATGAAGGAGGCTCCTTGGTCCAAGTTAATAGTTTACATATGTAATCATTGTCATGCCTTCCGATACTCGGACACAATTATTACAGCTTCTGGTTGACTTGTGAGAAAAGGTTATAAATAATTGATTTCAAAACGAGTGTTTATCTAATATAGAGATTGAAAACAAAGGCTAATCATCGATTATATAGATTTGTATAAAAATTTGTAACAAAATAGTTAACTGTAAATGTTTTGGAAGTGCCTAAGTTAGACATGTAATTATTTTTTAAAAAAACAATGCACAAATCTTTTCGTGACATATATGTTTCAGCCGAGGTCAGAAGGATACATATGATGAAGAAAAAGCCAGCTAAAGGTCTTCAGGTAAATACATTTTGACTTTTTTAAACAACTGTTTTGGAATGAAACATTTGTTCTTCATTAAAAACTAGGACAGAAAATAAGAAGGAGGATTTTTTTGTTGTTCAAAACATGTTTTTTTTTTTAAATTTTCAAATACAATGAATTTTATGTGATTGATTATGGCAAGCGGTTCTCGTCAAAACTATGTTTATACCATTTTTTCGAAAAAATTACACACTGAGAATTAAAAAAAATCACACTGAGATTTAAGAACCTAAAATAACACACTGAGAAATCGAAATTACACACTAAGATTTTAAAATTGCACACTGAGATTTAAAAAAAATGAAAAACACGCACTGAGAATTTAAAATTACACACTGAGATTTTAAAAAGACACACTGAGATGAAATAAATGGAAAACACACACTGAGAATTGTTAATTTCACAATGAGATTTCAAAAATACACACTGAGATTAATATGCAAATTACTAATGAATATTCATGAGATGAATTATTCAACAAATTAATATCTTGGTCTCCCGAACTCTTGCCATTATAATGAAATGCGGTTCCTACAACCAACATTCGTAATAAATTTCAAGACTTAACAACTTTTTTTGCTAACTCATATTCATAAGTTTGTTGCCTATAATTCAGATTATTACTAACAGTATATCGATATGTTTTGCTTAAAACTGTTTAAGCATGGTCCCTTTTCAAAAGTCTTTCAATTGTTACCCTGATTTCGCAAGGTAATCCTTTATATTTTTGTTACGTTTATATGCTATAATAGGCACTTGGGAAAAAAATTCACTGCATTGTTTGTAATTTTGCAGATTATTCCAATGTGTTCTTATAATCTTAATAAAGTTTCTCCATTTGGTTATATTTTGTAAAGAGAGTAAGTGGGTATTTTTCTTGTTCTATTGGTCTTTAAAACCGTAGTTTTTCTATACGTTGTACTTTTTATGTTTTTTATAAAACATATAGCGCCAAATTGAAGAACTAACGAGTTCTGTCCCCTAGTTGTTTTAAGCTTGTAATAGATTCAGATTGAGTATGCTAATTAGATATGTGCGCATAAAAAGTGCGCACAAATCTCAGTGTGTAATTTTAAAGTCTCAGTGTGTAGTTTCAAATTCTCAATGTGTGTTTTTCAGTTTATTTCATCTCAGTGTGTCTTTTTGAAATCTCATTGTGTAATTTTCAATTCTCAGTGTGTAATTTTCAATTCTCAGTGTGTAATTTTCAATTCTCAGTGTGTGTTTTTCATTTTTTGTAATCTCAGTGCGTTTTTAAGAAATCTCAGTGTGTAATTTTTAATTCTCAGTGTGTGTTCTTTAGGTTTTTTAATCTCACTGTGTTTTTTTAAACTCTCAGTGTGTTAATTTTTCGAAAAATGGTTTAAACATAGTTTTGACGAGAACGGCTTGCATTAATTGATCCCTATCTAGACCTGTTTCTATAAGAAAGCATTTACATGAACATATGTCTAAGAAATAAATATAACCGTTCTATTTTAACATAAAAGTTACAATCACAAAAGTTTGAAATTATAAAATCGCTTGTTTAAAATATAAAAACGTAATTGCATTGTGTTACTCTTTCTTCTACCATAGGCTCTTGCCTCAGGAACCCTTGCCTTAGCAAGATGTCATACTGTTTTAGATAAAACAGAACAACAATTGGAGCATGCAATCGAGAGAGAAAATAGGGCTCCGAAAACAATGATCGAAAGGTAGGTAGATGTATTTCCCTTTTTAGTTGTTAAATGTACAAGCAGCTTAACGGGACACATTTGGTTGATTGATTGCTGCCGTCTGCTTATCGTCTAGTGTACATATTTAACTGAAAATAAGCAGCTAGACCTAAAAGGCTGAAGTAGAAAGTCTATTAAAATGCAGAGAAATCGCTTTCATAATTTCGAACACGTGCCTTCGTTGGATTTAACGTTTCCAGTAGGATCGGACACTACTGGGTATTTGTATATCCCGTATGGTCATATAGACGCCTCACTATTTCCCAAATCTATCCAACTCAGCGGGATTATTGCCGTGTCGGATGGAAGAAGTCAGTGGCAGTCAACCTTTTTGAAGAAACACATCCATTTTGATTGCATTTGTTTTATACAGAATCTTTGTAGTTTCAATTGAATTCAATATAAAAAAATAAGTAGATTTGGTATGATTGCTAATGAGACAACTCTCCACAAGAGACCAAATGACACAGAAATTAACAACTATAGGTCACCGTACGGCCGTCAACAATTAGGAAAGCCAATACCGCATAGTCAGCTATAAAAGGCCCCGAAATGACAAATGTAAAACAATTCAAAGGAGAAAACTAACGGCCTAATTTATGTACAAAATAATGAACGAAAAACAAATATGTTACACAGCAACAGACGACAACCACTGAATTACAGGCTCCTGATTTGAGACAGGCACATACAAAATGTGGCGGAGTTAAACTAGTTTAAAGGCGCAATTCCTCCCCCTAACCTGGGATAGTGGTGTAACAATACAACATAAGAACAAACTATAAAAATCAGTTAAACAAGGCTTTACTCATCATATGGATACAAATAGAAATACATCTAACAAAAACAGAGAGTGGACGTGGCAGGGTACTTATACATCTCCACAACAAAAAGACACGACGTACAGATCTGAGAGTACTCGCAGTTAATGACAGCTAGTTAGTTTTAATTAGACTTTACTTTAATTAGTGTTACCTGATATCATCTACTTCCACTTGAAAATTAGGGGTCTTACTTTGATATAATTGTTCAATTAACATTTTTCCCAAAATTGTCACTCATTTTACAAATGAATTTCAGTTTTCTTTTCAGAACACATACCAATAAATTAAAAATATATAAATTGGTATTTTGTTCTTATGTTGTGCTGTAACATTACTGTCCCAGGTTAGCGGGAGGGTTGGGCGCTTACAAACATGTAAAACACCGCCACATTCTTTATGCGCCTGTCCCAAGTCAGGAGCCTGTAGTTCAGTGGTTGTCATTGGTTCATGTCATATTAGTTTTTTCGTTAATTGTTTTGTTATAAATTAGGCCGTTAGTTTTGTCAATTGAATTGTTTAATATTTTTCATGTCGGTGCGTTTTAAAGTCGACTTTACGGTATACGGTTTTCTCGTTGTTGAAGGCCGGACGGTTGCCTATAATATCTTACATCCACTTCATTTGAACTTGGGTGGATAGTTGTCTCATTGGCAATCATAACACATCTCCTTATTTTTATAATAATAATAGAAGTCTCCATATCCAAGTCATACTATTCTTGAATAAGTGTTCCTGGCAATCACTATCTATTCAATCAGTCCACATTGAAAAGAAAACAGTCAGTCAATCACTGGAATTGGATGGCTAAATCTGTTTTCATTACACTGCAATTATTTATTCACTATCAATGGGCTAAAATGTTCACAAGTTGATCATATTGTAGAGATGACTTTAAACTGGAAATAGGAAAAACATTTTGGTCAATGGGTATTGTGAAAAGACGAAGCTTTACAAACACATACTGTAATACCACAAAAATAGAGAGCGGTGGAATTGATGTATTTAAAAAAAACCGGTAAAACGGTAATGGCCCAAATTGATTCCGGTCATTTATTTCATGTATATTTTATATCGAAGGAATGCTAAATTTAATGTTTATTTACATTCAAAATGTGATGTTTTTCCTCTTTTTTTTGGCAATCATCAAACTTTAAATGTCTATTATGTTTAATTTCAGAGCACAAATGAAAGGAGAAAAGTTAATTCACACTAAACCCGTCTTGTTGTGTGTTGTTATGCTGAATATAATCGACTGTATCCTTGTTCTTGGAGAACTGGTACTTGACATGTACTACATCAAAGGTGAGATTCAAACTCTAGACATGAAATCCATCAGCTAAAAACATCATACTTCCAGTTAAAAGTTACAAAAAGTGTTGTCATTTCGGGGCCTTTTATAGCTGACTATGCGGTATGGGCTTTGCTCATTATTGAAGGCCGTACGGTGACCTATAGTAGTTAATTTCTGTGTCATTTGGTCTCTTGTGAAGAGTTGTCTCATTTGCAATCATACCAAATCTTCTTTTTTATACTATGTCACCAATTTTACAAATGAACTCAATGAGTTTTAAACAAGTTCAACAATATTTGTTTTGTTATTCGTGTCATTGGGTTGCTGTCTTCATTGACGTGTAAACGACATCTCCTTTTCACCTGAAAAAAGATTTTTTTCTATAAACTTGTAAAGTATATTTTATGGTGTTATAGGAGGACTTTTATGGGTTTCCAATTTTAATCTAAAGAAAGGTAATGTATGAAATCAGTAATAATGCAAGTTATGATTGGTTTGCTTATTTACTGATGTATATTTTCTGTATTAGTGAATGGAAATAATTATCAATTAAAACAATATATACAGCAGTACATTGTCACATAGCAACAATAAAATGTTTTTGTCTAGACAATTATCTCCATTTGCATTATGTATTAACCTAGTGTTTCAACGTAATTGTAGATGATGCTACTGGAAATAGTCAGAAATAGTCACGATGAGCTAAAACCCAAATAGGATATCTTCGACAAAAACTTATTAAATCGAATCAGTATTTTTTTTCGCATTATGCATTAACATTTTGTTTTAACGCTATCATGTAGAGGATATAATCCATTATCTCGTATGAGATAAAAAAAAAATAAATGGATATCTTAGACAAAAACATGTCCAAGAGGTATCTGAAATAGGTTTTCACTTAGTGCAATGTAACTCGTCAACCTTAAGTAATCACTTTTAACAGGATGCGATAACAATGCTGATACAAAAAACCGTCATTACAGACTATCATAAAATGATTCTTATTCTACTTTTCAGCTCTGATGGAGTCACATGAAGACGTAACTCACACTTTCATCACAGAAATGAAAATTCTGTACCCTAATGTGCTTTATAACATAGGAAAATCCGATATTGAACCACTGTATGACAATATTTTACATGCTCAAATAGACTGGGACAATTTTACGATGGCTCACAGCAAGTCGTTACAAGATAAATTGTCTGCGAAAAATATAACAAAATTGTCTCTTCAACATAGTATTGTGAAGAGAGAAGCAGAATTACCGTCACACATTGACAAGTTTATAAATGACAGAATAAACCATACACATTTCCACAATAATCGTCATGTAGAGGATCATCCTATAGAGGAAGTCCTAGCACATGCTTTCCACAAAGCCAGCATTTCAATTCTTTGTATTTTAGCCGCAGAGGTGAGTCAACTTTCTATTCTAAAAAAGCATGCAACCAAAACAATTTTTACCATTCAGATCTTTCCATCTCTACACTTACAAAAACGCAATAAGTTGAAAGATCTTAATCCAGACAAGACTTTATAGGATAAAGGAAAATGCAGATGGAAATTAACAGAAAAATAATTTGCAATATGAGATAATGTGCCACCTAAAAACATTAGTTTCTGCTATCGGAATAAATGCATGTTAAAAAAAAATGCCTATAAAAAGTATTTGATAAAGTAGTAAGTGGTGTTTATATAAATGTTTTAATTTTGTGCCAAAAAATTACATATCATTTGGATAAAAATAAATATTAGCATTATCAAAAGTGGTTATAACTGAAACCCATAGGTTTCCCAAAGTCTGGGCAAAATGTTTACATATACAGAAAGGAAAAAAATCCTTTCCAATTAAGACGTTATGAAAAAGCAGTTTCTCAATTGGAAGCATATCAAAATATGTATGATGAAATATAATGGTTTAAAATTTTAATCGTTTTTCCATATTTCTCTTTCGTTCTACTCAACTCTTTCTCCGTATCACGGCTTTGTGACTTCGAAAACCTTAACCAGAGTCATCAACGACAAAATAATGTTTTGTTCTGGTGATATATAAGTTTGATAAGCTTCAAAAACATTTTAAAAACTGACATGAAAAATACTTGAAGGAGACGATAAAATAAATTATCATTTTTTTCATGAGACGGATATCATATTCAATTTTTCATACTGAATGTGCTATCATTATTGTCTTTTAAATCTTTAATTGAAAGTACTTAACTATTACGTCATGCGCATAAAGACGTTACGGTAATTAGAGAAAAAAAAACAATAAAACAACAAAAGTGAAGCAAGATGTGTTTTTTTAGTTTGAAAGTCTATATATATGAAAAAGTTCTCAAGCCAAAACGTAGAACTTGAGCATTGTCTTTGTTTTTTTTGTAAATTCTATTCGATGTCCTATAAATTATCGGTTTTTAATTGGTCTACACGAGAGGGTGACATAGCCATGGGTAGCCTGGGGTCCTGGCTAATCTGTCAGTATAGCCAGGCGTGTATCAATGTCCTGCCTGTCAATGATTGGTTAATACTAATTTTGTCGCGCAATGTTTGTTTTACATCTGTATCCAATCAATTTTTGTTTAACATCAATTAGTAAAAATTAGACTGTATTTATTTTTCTTTATGAATTGATGTACAGTGTTATCATATCTAATTATTAGTATGATGATAATTAGTAAGCAGAAAAGGGTTAATTCTTATCAGTAATCAACTGGTGAGAAAGTTAAAAGTTTAAGATTTCACATGACCAAGGTGTGAATTGGATTTTACTTTTACGACCTAATTTACATGTACACATGTATCTCAAAGGGCAAAATATATATGGAAAAAAACATAAACAGTAAATGCCAACAAAAATTGCAGTTATTTTTTTTTTGGGAGAGGGGTTACATTTCAAATGATGTGTACATGTGCGAAGATACACCATCGTACATCTATTTTAAATTATAATTACATTAGACAATTACAATATTTATTAAATTTGATTTTTATAAATAAAGAGTTGTTTCGTTGACTCTTACCCCATATAATCCTTCCTGATAAAATATATATTAAATGTACAACATTTTTCAAAGTTTCTTTTGATTACACATACTAGTATTTATTTATACTGTTTAATATATATTTATTTTATTATATTACTGACAATGGGGACTCGTCAATCTGAGAGCAAAATGTATTGAATCAGAAGCAATGTTTCTTAATCATTGGTTTGAAATCTCTGGTTTACATCAAACATCAAAATTTATGCAAATATTTATTCAGCCTCACTTTAGATTCAGAGTCAACTGGCACTGAATCGATCACGTGGTATTTGTTCCCCACCTGGCCCTTGCGACGCGCAGCTAGATCGGGCCGGGATGCCAGGCTATGAATCGATCACGTGGTATTTGTTCCCCACCTGGCCCTTGCGACGCGCAGCTAGATCGGGCCGGGATGCCAGGCTAAGCCATGGGATGGAGTAAATTTTCTCCCTCGTATTATCCAACCAAAGTCTGGCATTTTAAAGTGAAGTATAATAATGTAAAATATCACCACTCAACATACTGTGGACCTTTTCCTTTTTAGTTCGTTCTCTGTACTAATTAGTTACGTCATTATAAAAACTTCAATTTTTGACCAACGACTGATATTTTACAAAAGCTTGATTATGAATTCAAGAAGTTATGGGATATGCGCCAATGACACATCAACCCAACAACATCAAAAATAAACCAGAAACAATTTTGATTACTGACGACCTTGACGATACATGCCAACGCTCAATTTCGTATGAAGGTGGCACCAATTTCTCCCGGCTAAATTTATTTCATACCACGGCCCTTTCCATGATAAATTTCTGTAATCTTTACTAAAATTTAAAATACTAGTATCATAGCTCTATATGTAAAGTTTCTGGTTGTAACAACAGTATGTCAAATTTCAGCTTGTAGCTGAATTATGAATGTCTAAAGAGACTCAATACTACCAATGTGAAAGATTTTGACAAATTTCGAGTATTTTTCAACATGAATAAGAATGATTCTTAAACCAAAACCAATTTCTTAACGGAAGTAATGCTATGTAGGTTAATTTCTGTGTCATTTGGTCTCTTTTGGAGAGTTGTCTCATTGGCAATCATACCACATCTTCTTATTTTTATATCCCCCTTGAATTGTTTTTTTTTCAGATACAATTCAATACATTTTGGTTGAGTGTGTCCTTCGATGCAAAATTTTACAAACTCTGGTAAAATTTGCAATATTCATTAAAATTGTCTTCAACAGAATGCATAGAACTACATATTAATATTTCAAAATGATGGACAAATACATAAATTGTGGCAAAATCCATTAATTATCACTGTGAGTGATAGCAGTTCAGGGGGAATTAGCTGTACCTCTTTATATGTAAATGGATATATATATATATATACATATGACAATATTACTCAAACTAATCTTTTTGTTTCTTACAGAATCTGTTTAAGATATTTTCTTATGGGAAAGCATTCTTCGAAAGAAAATTAGAAGTAAGTTACCATTATATCATTTTCTTCTACGTTTGCAAAGAGATCATACTCTTTCTTTTATATGTTCAGTTAGATTTTCCGTAATGAGAGTACATATTTAGTTGTGTAAGCATAACGTCTACATCAAGGCAACAAGTTTTCACATAAATTATTTGCAGTCGTTCAATATCAAATAATTTTAAAAATAATCAGTTCAACTCACGGTGGACGTCAATGTTCTCTTTTATTTCAGATGTTTGATTGTATGGTTGTATTTTGCTCTTTGTTTGTTGATGTCTACTTTTTGAAAGGAATAAGCGCTTTTAAAATCCAAGACTTCGTAATCATATTGGCTTTCCTGATGCCATGGAGAGTTATCCGAGTTGTCAACAGTAAGTAATGTCTATATCACATTATAAAATAAAATAGCATTATGGTAGAACAATGAAAAGCTGCAGAATTTTTTACAAGTATTTTATTTACATCATATTGAACCTTTCAAGATTCTCTAAAATTAGAATCCAGAAATATGTACTCGGGGGAAAATATGTAATACGTAATTGACATACTGTATTGACACCTGTCTGAGGTATTGTTGAATACCGTATGTTTACATATAGCTATTTTTTTGTGTCGTTGGGTTGCTGTTTCATTGACGTATACACCACAAACTCAAAACAAGGAGGAAACACTATAGATGCATGATTGATTGGATAGCGGTTTAACGTTGTGTCAATGCCAATGAAATGCTACATATTAATTATACGCCTGTCTTTATGGGAATTAAAAAACAACACAATGAAAAATCTACCACGTACTAGTTTAGTATAGGAGCATTGAAACGTATACAGTAATATAATTGTTCACTATAATGCAAACTGAAAGTAGACATGTATTTTTATCGGTTTTGCCATCAGTCTTTTATAAAATCGTGTATTTATACCAAATTTAAGGCAATTGAGTACGATTCTCTTCTGAACTGCTTGGCAAATTTTCACTAAACTTGGCTGCAAAAATATATAGAAAGTTGTCTACACATGAAATTCATTTGGTTTCGATCGGATTGCAGAGGCTCTTTGCACGATTGTTATTTGCTAACTTTCAAACAGCTTCTCCTTTGAAAGAACAAGGCGAAATTTTTGAAAATTTAGAGATTGATGACAACACAGTCATCTGAAGCTAAATTTGTCAATAGTTAATGTGTAAAGTGGGGACGAATTAGGGGCCTCTAGTTTCTACTTGTCATGGAGATTCTAGATAGATTCCTGCCATGCATAAATTGATCTTTTGAATCAATTTGTCTTACTTTTTTATCATGGTATCATATTTGATTATGAGCCGAGAGTAATATTCAAATATCTGTATGCCACGGTTCATTTTGGTGTCCTCTTCATGGATATTAAAAACCTCAAATGGATGAAAGAACTTCTGTCCACCAACATAGGTCCGATTGCATTTTCCCGAAGAAAATAGTCTGTATCTAAAGTTTTAGTCGAAATAAGATATAACGCCAAATTTAATAAGACACATACCATCCACTAATATGCACATGTCAGTTAAATGAGGTTAGGACCTGTAGCAGGTAATTGATTTGATAGGAATGGTATCAAAACAAAGAGAGGCACTTTTAACGGATCCAAAGTACATGTACTTTAAATAACAAAAATGAAGTTTTCAGGGTAGGTCTTTAAATGTACAATGTAAATTATTTTTCTCTAGGTCTAGTTGTATCAGTTATAGAACATGAACACTTCAGAATGAAACTTCTCTACAAACAAAAGAAAAATATTGCTAATGACCTTAAGAAAGTTAAATCAGAAGCCAAAGTCCTACGGGTACGTATATATACTTTGATATGTAATAGATATATGAGAGAGGCGAAAGATACAAAAGTGACATTCAAATTGTTCGTTTGTCTCGTCGAAATTTGTTTTACTTCAAGTGCCAATTTTTACCGTGGTGTCCATTTAAAAAAACGTGTGTTGCATTAGTTTAAACAATATTTATTCAGATAAATCAACATTAAACGATATTATACAAATGAAATAATATTAAGGATTCAGAAACAAGCAATTTGCTTTTACAAATCTGTCTCCTTTTACAAAAATAATACACTTATTGGACAAAATGTGTTGCATTGCTTCTATAAACACATCTTCATTGAATCGATTAAATGTCTTCTGTTTGCCATGAGTACATTCTAAACATTTTTTTATATAAAACAATAAATAGATAAAAAAAAAATAGAACCAGTTCGTTATTCTTCTGATTTGCTTCAATATACCTGTAGATATGAATATACTCATTCCAGGATTAAATACATGTTTTAAACCAGTAAAATAAAACGGTCCTAATATCTATTTTTTTTTTATTTTCAATATTTTTCAGTTTTTCCTAAAAGCTTTCACAAAAGTAATTTTATATTTTTAGCAGAAGTGTTTTAGATAAATAAGCCCTATAATAGCAATTACAAAGTTATTTTTATCTTTCAAGCAATGTTTGGATGTTGTACAGAAGATGGCCATAGACGGAGGAATTCCAGAACCGAAAATATCTCAACATTTAGGTACAATATTCATATATATATTTATGTATACATTTTTTTGGTTATTATTCTATATCGGTGAATAGACCTCAGTAATCGATACAAAAATGATACAATAATATAAGATTTTTCGGAAAAAATAATAAATAAACAAAGTAACATTATCATATTAAATAGAGACGGAAGATACCAAGGGGACATACAAAACTCATAATTTGACTGAAACTGACAGCGTCATGGCAAAAAAAAAAGAATAATGTCGTAAAGACAAACAAGTTAACAAAACACTACATATAAAACCAAAAACTGGGCAACACGAACCCCCACCAAAACTTATCAGGTGTTCCGGATTAGTAAGCAGATCCTGCTCCATTAGGGCAGACGGCGTTGTCTAACTTATGGTAGGTCCAGATTAGGTGATGTCACAGTCCAAGAAAAGAAGACATGATTGTGTTTAAGACAACTGGAACATATTCGTGGTCATCTGTAACACAGATATCCCGTAACGGTCAACAACTCGTGATGGCGTCAGTTAAACTTTCAAAGGGATGACTTCAACTTTAGCATTTGGACAATTAATGGTTTAAAAGCTAGCTTCCTTGTAAGCAATAACCTAGCTTCTGTCAAAGAAATCATGATAGGAAATGCAAGCTTTAGAATATCGTATCAAATGGGCGATATATACTCCGTATGCAGGTGCTGCTTGAATGTTGCTATATAGAAATGGAAAGTTCACAATTTGAAAGCTGAAATCATCCCTTTTCTTAAAAGTTTTGTTCTGAACCGACCATCATTGTCAATGTCCAGATGTAAGTAAAAATATGTTGTAATATGAGAAAATTTAAAGTATACCTACCAAATATAGCTTGATGATGTTATATCGGGTGTCTCTAAGTGTTACCTATCATCTCCAAAATTTGGAATTAACAAATTAATTTTTGCCTTAGAAAGCATAGTGTGTATGCATGCTCTGTGGAAGAAAGCGTTCAAAATAAGACTTTGCTTCCAGGATTTTCTTGGAAGTAAAATCATTAATCATTATAAATATGTACATTATACACATCTAGGCATGCTTTTAGATTGTTTATGACTCTCGGAATATGATAATTATATATACATCAGATTTTTTGATAATTTTTTTTAGATTAAGATACAGTTCCAAATTTTCCAGATGCATTAAAATTCCATAAAGTTTAAAAAAATTACCCGTTAATAGTCCGAACAAACGTGTGTAATTTATTTTAATTATCATCTTCTTTGTTGTTTTTTTAAGCCTTGCTTCAACAGAAACAGAACAAGAAAAACAAAATTTTTGAAGAAAACATTAAACAGAGTTTACCATTGTCTCCGTTCAAGAAATCTTCGGAAAGTTCATCGTCGGAACCATTGTCCGTAGAAAATGGATCATCTTGTCGGACTGTACATAATTACACAGATGAAGACAATAATACAATATCTAATGTGGGTGGCACAGACAACAATATGGTTTAGTCAACTACTGTTTTTTATAAAGCGAGTATTGTATTGAAGTAAAGCAAGAGAAAATATTGTAAGAAATGTCAAAATGGCATTGTGCTATTTTGCAAGAGCAATTATAAATAGAATGTCTTCCGCTTAGGAAATTGAGTCATCATGAGAATATCCGAGGTAAAGCTTTTCCATGACAACGAAGTCTTGAGAAAACTATATGAATAAAGTTGTTGTTATGAAAACTTTAAATGGAGGTGTTTTCTACTTAACATATTATATTACATGTAGATTAACTGCACAATAAGTAGTAAACTTTTTTATATAACAGAGCCTAACTTTTAAGGTTGAATTTATTCATTTTTATATCATTTTTTATATCATTTTTTGTATCATATCACATGTTGTATTGAGTTTTATATTTTATATTAAAACATCCATTTACAGCTTGTTTCCATGCAGTAGTTTTTCTTACAAAGAGCATTACTTTAATTTCATTGATCACACAAAGTCGTATATTGCAGAATTGAACAAATTAAGCCTTACAGGAAACGTTCAGCAGTTGTAATTAGGCCAAAATATGACAACTAGTTCATACTTCAAATCTGATAATGACGAATTTTACCATTTTTTCTTCTTAATTTTAATCTATTGTCATGTTGAAAACTAGGGATAGATAGAAACTTTAGCAAAAATGACCAGCAAGACAAGATCTACAAATACATTACATGGTGGAAACGTTAGTCAACGTCTTATTGGAGCTACTAACCTTTATTGATGAGTTTTGCCATTTTTTTTTTCGTTTTTGCAAATTATCTTGAAAACTATAATAGATATATAGAAACTTTAAAACCAAAAATGATCAGCAATATAAGATCTGCAAAAAGGTCAGCACAAACGAAATTGTAGTTCGTAGTAGAGTTAATGCCTTTAAATGACGATTTTATAATTTTACCTTCTTCTGTGTTATCGGACAAGCATTACAGAAGATAGAGAGAAACAGTAAACAGAAAAAAATACCAGAAATAGAAGTTCAATAAAAAAAGAGATTTTAGTTATAAATTATAATACGATGTTGGAGAATGTCAATTGTTTATATAAGCCGCACATAGACCTAGGTGAGCGACATAGGCTCTTTGGAGACTAGTTTTGTTATGGTTATGCATAATTGTTGTTTGTTGCTGGATGGACATAAGTGATCTAACATTATCTTCAGCAGTATGTTTATATTGGTCTTGTAATTGTTTATGTTCGGTATCTCATTTATACTGCATATAAAAAAAGAATATAATTTACCAACTTATTTTTATTCATATTTTTTTATTTTTTGCGGACGGAATATTCAGTTCACCTGTTGCTATATGTCGGCTTATCTATATCATGCGACATTGCCGCGCGAAAAGTTATTTTTAACTTTGTACATAATTATTTCCTCCAAATTGATACGCAGAATATTTATTTTCATCCCTCCCGTCTTGGGCAAGAATATTTATTTTCAGTTCTTATTAGGTTAGTCTATGTATTCGTTTCTAAACTCCTCCCCCTCCCCTCAAAATCAATTGCTCGTCCCCTTAGCTCAACTTAACCTGAGTTATTTGTAACCTTAGTTTTAGTAAGTGTGGCGTGCTCATATCGACAGTTAACATTTGCTCTACAACTTCGTGTTTGGCCTACCAACTGTTTTAATTCGAGCGCCCTTTCTGATGGCTATGTAGACGAAATGCGCGTTTGGCTTACAAAATTATCTGGTATCTTAATTTGATAATTTTTTGTATATTCCGGAGATATTCTGGAATGAATCTATCAATAACCTAACTTTTCGAAGTAATGACCCAATAATTCATTGGTTGGCGTTGGTACTATGCACTGGGTTTTTAATGGCGTACATTGTACGTCTGTGTCATTGTCCAGAACTAATTTTCAAAGAATACAATATTTACGCTGAAAATGGTCTGCTATCTAGAATTCAACATCCGGCCTATATCAACGTATATCCTACATTTCTCTTTATCTATATTCAACTGTAAGTATGACTTAGTTTTTGTTTAGACTGATATCGTTAATGATCTTTGAAAAGTATGTCTTTTCAAAGGAAATTTATCGTCCCTCCAATTATTGATATCGATGTCGATTGGATCTTCATTTATCGACAATCTAATTAAAATATAGAACTCGGATTTACATACGTAGTTTAACGAAATCCGAGTTCTAAATTTTAATTAGATTGATTTTTCGACAGCTTGTTAGCGGCATATATGATAAAAGTTCATTTATACTAACAATTCTAATATCTGTTGATATAAAGTGTGAAGTACTTGAGTCAAGGTAAACTTCTTATTTTCGATTTTTTTCGATTACTTTCATCCTTTTTCTCGCCAACCCGGTTTTTCATGTTTATTTTTGTTAGTGTATGTTTTATAGACCGTTGTTTGTCTTTTCATCGTTTTACTATTTTGCCATGATGTGGTCTTTTTTTTTCTTCGGGTTGTGATTTTTGATGGGATTCTTGACTCTATTTTATGGTAAATTTTCTCCTCGTTTCATCGTTTATGATTTATTATCAAAGTCGATTTATGTTCGGGTTGCTACTTTTCATGTGCAACAGGTTCACATATAGGCATGCTATATAGAAGCAACACTACCTGTTTGCCCTTTTATAACACATTAGCTCATCTCAGATTTTGGTGGGTTCGTGTTGCCTATTAATATTTAATTTTGGAGACTGTTTGTGTTTTTGTGTTTATTTATTTGGTGATGGTGTTTTCTAACCTCTGTGGAGTAATTATTTTTGTTTTAATTAATTTGCATGTTATAGTAATTGAAACTGATTTTTCTTTTGAAAAAGTACACAGCCCGATAAAACAAATGCTTTCAGAGACAATCCATAAAAAAAAATAAATAAATATGATCGACGTCCATTTTACAACAATTTCTAAAGTATTGAATTATTTAAAACACTAAGGTTTTTCTACCCCAGGCAAAATAAGAACATGCTACTTTGAAGTCTTTTTCTTTTGATAAGTACACAGTCCGATAAAAGGAATGATTCTATAGCCAATCCATAAAAAAAAAAAAAATATATATGATCGACGTTCATTTTACAACAATTTTTTAAATATTGAATTATTCAAAACACTAAGGGTTTTCTACCCCTGGCAAAGTTATCCATATTCGCCGCAACTTTTCGGAATTATTTGTTTTCAAGCTTTATCAACTTCGTATTTGAGTTTGCCTGTTCGGAACTGTTTTGATTCAAGCGCCACTTTTGGGTCTGTGTATACGAAATGCAATTTTGTTCAACCATTTGATCGATGCCACTGCTTGTGGACGTTTTGTTTCGTCCCAAAGCAGTGTTCCAGCTAGGATTTCAAAAGGGCAGGGTGCCAAACCTGAAAAGGGCACATTTAACGCGTGAAAGATAATTTGAAAAAGGCATGTTTTAATAAAGATGTAAATCAAACATTGTTTTATTCCTTTGATCATAGGTAACATATATATACAATCACAATCACAATCACAATGACATTAGCCTAGATAAAACTTTATCTATCTATCTTTAGTACTGAAGAAATTGTCAAGCACCTTGTCACACAATTTATAAAAACATTGCTTGTCACAATTAAGTTTAACATGTAAAATGTTTTGTAATGTATCTTGCTTCATCCTATTTCTGTGGTCACACTTAACGAGTTTAACTTGTGAGAATACTCTCTCTACCTCTGATGTGCTCAAAGGCAACACAGCAGCTGTGCTGAGTAGGTGAATCATGTTAGGGTAAAGTGTAATTAACCCTAAATTACTGTTTGATAAAAACTTAAGGCAAGCCATGATTGTTCTATCATGACTGCTCTTGTCCCCTATAAGTTCACAAAATGATGTCCATTCATTCAGTAGAATGTCATCAACTATTGCAAAATGTGATGACAGCTCCATTATTTCAGAAACAGCATATGTTTCTGGTACTTCTTCCAACATGGATGTGTCTAAAAGTGCAAGGTTGTCCATGGCATCTGTGTCTACAAACCTACAAAGAAAAAAGATAGTTGCTAGTATAAAGGATAACATGAAAATATGATTTCCTAACAATTGATATTTTATGATAATTTTTACATACCTAGTTTCAATGTTGTCTATCAATTCAGTCAGGAAAGGTTCCCTCACAGTACTGTTGAATTTGTCCATCTTAGTTACATCAATGGAACACTCATCTGCAATAACACTCAGTTTTTTCTGCCATGGTCCATCATTTTGAGCAGTTTTCATTTTATTTAAAAGAGAAATTGTCTTGTTAACCATACTTTTAACCATACCTTAAAAGGAATGTCATAAATGTATCATTATACCATTTATTAACGAATGTGGAATAATTTGGAAACATACTAAATTAACAGGTGTATTGTATTAAAATGTGTATTTTATTTAACAAACCTAAATGTATATCTCTTCTCTGAAAAAAGAGGGATAGTGTGGTCATTTGTGGCAGCACATCAGCCAGTAACAAAAGTGTTGACAGGATATATGGATCCTTCAAGTTCTTTAGTAAACCATTACCAACAAGGTCCCCACTTATGGTGTTAGATTCTAGATCAATAATAATTGCCCTGAAAATAGTTGCATAAACACACTATTACATTGTCATTTTATTTTGTAAATAAATGTGATGATTAAATTAAAATAATCATTAAAATTATAAGTCTGTACCTTTGATTAGTATTTATCCCTTTATTCATTTATTTAATTTTTACACTTTTAAATAGCTATTTTCATGATTATAATTGTTTTTAAAAAATTCCAATCTTTAATATATATACTGTATATATCAATCATAAATACCTGTAAGATGTCACTATAGCCCTGACAGCTTGACCGTGACTCAACCATCTGTGATGTTTTGCCTTTTTCACCTTAAGAACAGGCTCACCAAGTGCCTTCTGTACATTCTCTAAAGATTTTGTGTGATTGCAGCTATATTTATAGTACTTGTGTAAATTGTCAAGTGTGTCATCAAAGCGCTTCACTACCTTGACATTTTTGTAAGAATCCCTACAAGCAAGTGCAAGTCTATGTTCCTTGCAATGGTTGGTGATAAGTGATGGATTGGACTCCTTCAATTTTGTCCATACACCATTTTTTCTACCGGATAACACTGCAGCTCCATCAGAGCCGAATGCAGACATTTAAGAAAGGGGTAACTTAGCAGATTGTAATTCTTCTTTAATTTTGTCAGTTATAGTCTCAGCACGCCCATCATCTATAAGTGGGTCACATATAAAAGCATTCTTAATGTTACATTCAGGATCTATGTATCTAGCACAAATAGCTTTGAAAGTCATCACCCGCCCATTCGTCAGCACGTTCGTGTTGTGTTGACATGAAATATCACTGATACGTTTATTTTCCTTAAATTCTCTGTTTAAAAAAAATGAATTCTTCATTTCGACCCCCAGTCAA